GCTGTTTGGATGTCTTCCGGGAGACGCCTGTTCAATGCTCTTGGCCATTTCTCTACGGAACTGTGTGGTTTCTGTAATTGATTTGCAGGAGTTCCCTGCATATTCTGGACACGTTGTCAGTTGCATGTTTGTAGGAAATATTGGGACAGACTTTGAAATGGACCAAAGGTGACTTCTGTCTTCAGTGGGAACCAAGGCACTGTCCCGCCCCCCCAGGTGATGTGAGTGGTGGGGGCTCCGCCCTTTCCACCATCTTTGGGCTATTTTACAACTCTGCCCATTGTAGAGAATCAAGGCCATGGGAACGCTCTTCTTGGAAGGATGGTTGACTCCTCCCTCTCTCAGGAGTACAAATCAGATGCATTTGAAAATGCCTCTATTCACAAGGTCCTTTAGCATTCTTGGTTCCACTACATCCACGAGGTAGTTTGAATTCTGCTTAGAGCTGGTTATAAGCCCTTAATTGCTGAGTTCAATGAAGTCTTTGAAATATGTTCATTGTCTGTCTACATGAGTCTGGTGATCACACCATGATTTACAATCAGTCCTTTAACATGTTTCAAATGTCTTCTCCCACGTGGGCCCACGTATCCTGGGCTCAGGAAGTTCTGTGACAGGGCGGGGGCGCAGGTGACCTGGTGCTGAGGAGCAGAGCGGGGCGAGGCCGGGCACCCCGTTCCTCCAGAATCTGCGTCAGCTGCTCCCTGGGAAAGCCTCCCTCAGTCCCTTTGGCTGTGGGGCCTCTCAGCTCCCGGCACTTTCCCCTCACTGCACTCATCATGGTGTCCTCACTTTGCTGTTTGCGGGACGATCTTCTTTGTGTCTGGGGAGTGGACGCAGGGGGAGACTGAGTGGCAGAGGCCGGCACAGACCAGGCCCGGGGTGGTGGGGAGCGTTCTGCTGGGTGCATTAGGGAAGACTGAGAGGAGGCCTGGAGCTCAGAGCTAAGAGAAGGGTGTGTAGGAGTTTGCGGGGTGTGTAGAGGGAAGGGACCCCGGGAGAAGGGAACAGCATGAGCAGAGACTCTGGGTGGGAGGCAGCGTGAGGGACCCAGGTAATCGATAGCTGAGCGTGCGGGACAGGGCACTGTGCGTGTATGTGTGTGTGTGTTGGGACCGACGCCCCTGTTTGGGGCTTAATTGTGTCGTCCAAATTCCAATCTTGAAGCCCTGACCCCAGGACCTCAGAATGTGGCTGTATCTGGAGCTAGGGTCCTTCAAGGGGTAATAAGTTACAACGGGATCCATAGCGTGGGCCCTGATCCAATAGGATTGGGGTCCTTATAAGAAGAGGGGTCAGGACCCCGACACTCACAGACGGAGGACGATGTGAGGACAGGGGGAGAAGAGGCCATCTACACGCCCCAGAGAGTGGCCTCAGGAGAATCCCCTGCTGACGCCCTGATCTGGGGTGTCCCGCCTCCAGAAAGTGTGAGGACAAATGTCTGGTGTTCAGCCCCCACAGGTGGGTTGTTACAGCCGCCCGTGCTGACTAATACACACCCCACACGCGGTCCTGCTTCTGGCCTGGGCCAGTGCTGGACGCTCCTCCTGCCTGGGCCCGGGCTGGTCCCGCTCCCCACAAGGCCCGTGTACCCCCTCCCTCCTCATCACATTGTTTCCGGGCCGCCCTCCTCACCCAGGGAACCCCGGGGGCTGGAGAGCCGAGGGCAGGAGTGGAGGGAGGGCTGGAAGGTCATGGAGCTGTGAGGGTGTGGAGGGAGCCCCGATGCACGACTCGGCCAGGCTGTGGGTTCCACGAGGCGTCAACATAGGCAGTTATGGAATTTTCAGGGTATTTTATTGTTGTTTTAGAAAAAGAAACTGTAAAGACAATCGATGGGCTATAGAAACTTCAAGAAGGAGAAAAGCTACCCAAGCTCCCACTGTGGGTTTTCCTTTGAGCCGTCTCTCTGCAGGGCCCTAGCAGGCGGGGTGGGGCCGCCTCTGCTTCCTGTGGGCAGCCGTGTCCTCCCCGTCCAGAGACGCTGACTTGCCCTTTGCTCAGAGACGTGAGGGGGCACTGGTTCCCGGGGCGGTGAGGTCCTGGGTCTGGCTTGGTCCCCCTGCCTGGTTCCCTGAGGCCCCAGCTCTCTCCTCGGTGGTCTTGTCTCTCCTCCCTGCCCCGTGGAGCAACTCGGAGTTCCTGTGGAAGGGGACTCGGGCCCCTCCCCAGGAGGCCCTCTGGCCAGATATGGACTCTTCCCAGGTGATGCCACCTCCACCCTCCAGGGGTCCTGCTGCGGTTGTGGGCGCAGGCCCTCTTCCAGCAGTCTACTCAGGTGGCCGTGATCTGAGTGACCGTGAGGGGCACACCCGGAAGCTTCCCTGCTGGTGGACGATGGCCCCGAGGCCTCCGGGGCCTGGGGCAGATGCTCCCACTCCAGGATCTGAAACCAGGTGTCTCCTTCCGGCACCCCGCGTCCTGGAGCCTGGCAGAGATGCTGTTTGCATGCTGGCCTGTCCCTGCCCAGACGGACATGGGAAGGCCGGCCCTCCACATCGTCCATGGTGACCGACATGCCAACCTGGGGCCGTCCTGGTGAGGGATTCTCCGCCCCAATGCTGCAGTGTCCACATGGCCCCATCAACTCTTAATGGCTGCTGTACGTGGGCCCATGGGCTTCCAGTAGCTCTGCTCAGGGTTACAACTGCCGTCTCCTCTGTTCTCCACTGGGCATCAGGGGGCAGGATGCAGCCTCCGGTGGCTTGAGGCCAGAAGGCGAGGTGAAGGTAGTGGTGGCCATGAGGTCACAGGGCAGTAGGTCAGCATTTGGTGAGGTCAGAAGCAGAGGAGCAGGTCTGCATGGCGGCTGAGCAGCATGAACGGCTGGACGTGGATGCCGTCTACAGTCTGGGGCGGCCATGGACACCCGCCCAGGTGGAGTGGCCCTAGGCTGCCTGCCCGATCATGTTCCTGTAGTCGGGGACGATCGTCCGCTTCAGCTCCACCACCGAGGAGAAGATCCATTTCACCTGCAGCGGGCGGGCCAGGGGTGAGCGTGGCCTGGACCCAACGCCGGCCTCCGCCAGGGCCTGCCTTCCCTGCACCCGGGCCACGTGACGGTGGGCGGGCCAGGGGTGAGCATGGCCTGGACCCAACGCCGGCCTCCGCCAGGGCCTGCCTTCCCTGCACCCGGGCCACGTGACGGTGGGGGGTCACAGGGGGACAGCAAGGGGACATGGTGGGGACAAAGAGGAGACAGAGTAGACAGTGAACAGTGAGGGCACAGTTGGGGGGACAGCATAGGGACAGTGAAGGACAGTGTGGAGATAATGTTGGAACAGCCAAGTGTCAATTTGGAGATGGGGGGTATAGTGATGAGGTAGCAAGATGACAGAGTGGGGACATGGTGAGGACAGTGTGGGGACAGCATGGTGACAGAGAAGGGACGATGTGGGGACAGCCTGGCCCACCTTGTAGAGGGTGACGGTGGCGCTGTAGCACACGCTGAGCAGGAAGAGCGTGATGAAGATGGAAATGGTGGTCCACAGCCCGTCCAGCTCCCCGTCCTGGGTCTCGGCACAGTTCTCGTCCAGGACCATCTCTGCACAGGGAGCGGGTAGTCAGTGCTGTGCCTACCCGAGGGGGCTGGGCAGGGTCAGTGGGGCCTGCGGGGTGGGGACTCTCTCAGTGGCAGAGTGGGCAGGGCAAGTTGGATCCCTCAGCTGGGCTGGGCCAGCGGGTCCTGAGGTCAGTGTCTGGGCACCAAGCTCAACCCCTCTTTCCTCCAGCTGGGACCCCAAGTCTTGGCCAGTCACCCCTGACCCAGGTCTCAGCCAGGCCAGTGGGGGACCAACCATCTCCTCTACTCTGCCTTCTGCTGGGCCCTCTAGGCAGAAGGCACCCAAGCCCTGCAGGATGGAGGCTCAGGCCCTGCCTCCTCTCTCCTGGGGACCAGGCCCCGAGGACGGGAGGGTCAGCAGAGCCTGTGGGCAGCTTGGCCCCTGCCCCGGGGAAGGGCCGAGACAGGATTGGATGTGTCCCTAGTGCCTGAGCCGTGGGAGTGCTGGGGACAGCTGCGTGTGGGGTTTCTGTGTGTTAGGCTGGGGGTATGTGCCCCGGGGAAGCAGAGGGCAAGTTGTCAGAGCTGGCCATGTGGTCAGTGTGAGGACGAGCTCAGAGCAGCCCGTGGGGCATGGGAAGGGGTGGGGACCAGCTCGTGTCCAGGCTGAGGGTTTAGGAGAGCGCGCTCCTTGCTCTGTTGGGCATGTGCAGGTTGCCCTTGTGTGAGGCCTCAGTGTGTCAGGCCAGCTCTGTGTGTGTGTGTGCTTGTGTGCACTGGTGTAAGGATGTGTGGAGCTGGTGTGTGGGCTGGCACTGCTCAGTGAGAGGAGCTGGTTTTCAATGGCTGTGGGCTCAGTGCCCACATGGCCATCAGGGACGGTCCCTCCCTGGGCACTCAAGGCCACCTGCTTTGGCTCCTTGGGGACCTGAAGTGTCCCCTTGAGTGGACAGGCCTGGCCCCAGGCAGGACAAGGTCAGGCAGAGCCCCCTCACCTGAGGGAGGGTGGGGGCCTGATCTTGGAGTGCCAGAGGGCAAAGGAGGGCCTGTCCCCACACCATGGGCCTGCAAGCCTCTCGTGCGGGCCAGAGCCATCAGGCAGAGCTCTCGAGTGACCCAGTGGACAGGGATCCTGGGGGACAAGGATGGGCCATGGTCCCCCAGCTCAGGCTCCTACAGAGGAGGGACGCCCTCACGTGCATTTCCCTGATGGCTCTGGAGGGGCTTCTCCTGTTCCCTGGCCACCCTCCAGCCCCGAGCTGCTGCTGGCAGGAGGGCGGCCCAGAGGAGCTGCCGCCTCTGACGAGGCCCTTGCCCGCTCGGCAGCCCCTCCTGCTCTCCTGGGCGGCCTGCACAGGTTCCCACACCCTGGGTCTGATCCGAATGGGACCCACTCTCTGTAATAGTGACAATGTGGCCTTGGAGCCTGGCTGCCCCGCAGCCTGCAGGCCTGGCCAAGTGCCAGAGCTCTGCCTCAGAAAGAACCACGACCTCGTCACAGGGTCCCAGGGCCATGCTGGGTGCTTTATTTCATGCTGGGTGCCCGGGAGGTATGTACACCAGGGTGGGGGCTCAGGTCTCCTTGTGGGACCTGGAGAGCCCATGGGGAGGGAGGGATGGCTTGCTGGTTGCTGGGTGTGTGGCTCATTTACCGGGAGACTTGGAGACGGATTTCTCCGTGTAGTGATTGTGGAGAGCCTCGTGCATCACCGCACACGTGAATGTCGTTCCCTGCTGCCACCTGTTAGTCTCCACAGTGAGCTTGCTGTACAGGAAGTAGGACCCGTCGCTGTCCAGCTGGGCTGGGGTGGTGCTGTACTTGGTCTCCGGCTCTGGCTGCCCGTTGCTCTTCCACTCGATGTCAATGTCAGTTGGGTAGAAGTCCTTGACCAGGCAGGTCACGCTGACCTTGTTCTTGGACAACTCATCCCGGTGTGGGGCCAGGACATACACCTGCGGCTCCCGGGGCTGCCCTGTGGGCACAGAAGTCAGCACAGACCATCCCTCCTGGGTGGTACCCTCCCCGTGCCCATCTGCCCTGCCCTCACCTGTGGGCTTGGAGATGGTCTTCTGGACAGGGGCTGGGAGGGCTTGGTTGTTGACCTTACACTTGAACTCCTTTCCGGACAGCCAGTCCTTGTGCTGGATGGCGAGGATGCTGACCACGCGGTAAGTGCTGTTGTTCTGTTCCTGCTTTGGCTCCGTTGTGGCTGTGTGCGTCTCCACTCCATCCACGTACCAGTTGAACTGGACATCGGGGAAGTCGTGACCCACGTCCACCACCACACAGGTGACCGTGGGTGTTCGGGAGATCATGAGGACGTCCTTGGGTTTTGGGGGGAAGATGAACACGGAAGGCCCAACTGAGAGACATTCTGGGGGGAGACATAGCAATGGGCGGGGTCAGCACTTGGGTGGGCCTCCTCTTGAGCCCTTGTCCCCTATGGGCCACGCCTGTGCTCCAGCCGCCTCCTGGGGGTGGAGGCCGAAGCCCAGCTGACTCACCTGGGCATGTGGGGCAGCCGCCACACTCTTTTATGACTGCAGAGAGAACAGATAGGTGTTACCGAGGGTGGAGGGAGGCGGCCTTGGGGTGAGCTGACATCAGGGCCAGGTTTTGGGAGCTCTGACACCAGTGTGCCCCCACCGTGACCCGAGGGGCTGGGTCCAGGCTGTCCAGCCTGCCCCTGCTCTGGGCATAGCAGAAACACCCAGAGGACCCCTCCCTTTGCTCAGGAGGCCTCCCCCGCCGTCCTGGGGTCCAGGCAGGAGGGCAGAGCCTGGCCTGTCTCGCAGGAAATGCCCTCCCTGCAGCCCCTCCTCTCACCGATTTTCTTGTCCACCTTGGTGCTGCTGGCCGGGTGGGCTACGTTGCAGATGTAGGTCTGGCTCTTCAAGCTGCTGGCAGGCACGGTCACCATGCTGCTGAGGGAGTAGAGCCCCGAGGACTGCAGGACGGACGGGAAGGTGTGCACGCCGCTGGTCAGGGCTCCTGAGTTCCAGGACACGGTCACCGGCTCTGGGAAGTAGCTGGAGACCAGGCAGCCCAGGGCCACCGTGGAGCCAGATGTGGCCGCAGAGTGCGAGGCCAGCGGGAAGACCTTCGGGGCCGTGGTGGAGGCTGCAGGAGAGGAGGCATGTTACACCAGGGCCTTCCCCTGTGAGGGTCCGGGGAGGGCGTCAGGTGCCCAGGCCTGAGCACTGCTAAGTCCAGCGCCTATGTGCTTCCGGATAGTCTTCAGACTAAATGCCCTGCGTGGCTCCCTGTCCCCCTGGGCTGGTGACTCTGCAGCCACGGGCTCTGGACTGGTCACCCGGTCAGCACAGCATCACCACCTGGATTAGAGTCCTTTCGAGGCCCCTGTCCCCTTGTACTTGCTGAGGCCTCCAATGGGTGGGCAGACTGACCGAGGCCCTCTCTGAGCCCTGACCAGAGACTGCTGCTCCCGGGGAGCTTTTGCTGGTTCGCAAAGCCCTCTGTCCTATCAACTAAGCCTGGCCTGGCCCTGGGTGAGTGGCCCCTCCTCAGGTGTGGTGGGCCTCTGCCCCACATGCCTGTGTTAGCTCCCAGCCCTCCGCCCAGCCCTCACCACGGCCTGTCTCTGCTCACCAGGCCCCGTGTCTTTTGAGTCAATTCTGCAGCCACTGCAACATGGGCCCTTCTCTCTGACGCTGCCCTGGTCCCCGTCCCGGGCCCTGACACTGTCCTTGCTCTGGAACGTGTCCTTGCCCTGGACCCCATCCCTGTCCTGAACCCCATCCCTTCCCTGTCCTGGACCCCGTCCCTGGGAGTCTCCTTGTCCCCTCCCTTCCCTTCTCTGTGGGCCCCAGCCCAGCCTCCTGCTCTGCCTCTGGGCCCCCTCCCCACTCAGGTCATCCTGGCCGGGCTTCCTGAGCTCACCTCCGGCCCCTCCCTGCCAGCGCGCCTGCCCTCCGCCCTCCCTGCTCTTGGGCCTGTCCAGCTCCTTGCTCACTGCAGAGCCCTCCTCCAGCCGTGGTCCTTCCCTAGCACAGCCGGCCCCTGGGCGCAGGTGGGAGCCCTCGGCGCTCCTCTCCTCTAGGTGCCAGCCTCCCCAGGCCCCCGTACGGGCTTGGGTGCAGCCTTTACCCACATGTCCGGGCCCGGCCTGTCCCTTCTGACCCCGAGTCCTGTCTGCTCAGCTCCAGAGCCCTGCCAGGCCTCTCCCCAGGCTGGCAGCCCTGGCTCAGGCCCCAAGGAGCCGCTCGCTCTTCCCTCTGCCAGGTCCACTGCCCTGGGTCACCCTACATTGCTTCCACATGTCTACCCCTCCTGTCCCAAGACCCACAAGCACCAGAACAGGACTGGTGCCCCTGGACACAAGAACTGCATCCCACTGGATCTCCCAGGATGGAGCCCCCTGCACCTTCAGCACCAGAGACATCCCTACCCAGAGTCCCCCATCCATTCCAAGGAGCACCAACCCGGCCACTCCAGCAGCTCACACTCTTGCTCCTGCTCAGCCTCACCTGAGGCCCCTTAGCCAGCAGCTCTCCCTGCTCCCTGTGCCTGCTCAGGTCTGACCGCTTGAGGGCTCTGAATAGCTCAGGCCCAGTGCCCTTCCTCCCCTAAGAGCCAGGGCAGCCCCCTGCCCTCCAGCCCTCCCTCCTGCCCTGCTCACCTGTAGCTGCCCTGCCTGCTCCCCTGGAGCTCCTTGGCTGCCCCTGCCCTCCGCCCTCCACCTGCCCCTGCTCGCCTTAGCTGCTCTGCCTGCTCCCCGAGCTCCTGGGCTCCCTGCACTTCTGCCCTCCCAACTGCCCCTGCTCACCATTAGCTGCTCTGCCTGCTCCCCAGAGCTCCTTGGCTGCCCCATGCCCCTCCAGCCCTCCCACCTGCCCCTGCTCCCCTGTAGCTGCTCTGCCTGCTCCCCTGGAGCTCCTGGGCAGCCCCTGCCCCTCCTGCCCTCCCACCGCCCCTGCTCACCTGTAGCTGCCCTGCCTGCTCCCCTGAGCTCCTTGGCTGCCCCTGCCCCTCCAGCCCTCCACCTGCCCCTGCTCGCCTATAGCTGCTATGCCTGCTCCCAAGAGCTCCTGGGCAGCCCCCTGCCCCTCCAGCCCTCCCACCTGCCCCTGCTCACCTGTAGCTGCTCTGCCTGCTCCCCCAGAGTTCCTGGGCAGCCCCCTGCACCTCCTGCACTCCCAACTGTCCTGTTCTCCTGTCGCTGCTGTGTCTGCTTTCCCGGACCTCCTGGGCAACCCCTGGCCTCTTGTGCTCTCCTGACTGCCCTTGCTCACCTGTAGCTGCTCAGCCCCTTGACCCTGGAGCTCCAGGTCGATAGCATCTCTCTGCCCCTCCTGTCGTATGGTCCCCTCTTCACAGCTCAGGTCCCTGAGCTCAGCCCAGGGCTGCCTCTGCCCCTCCTGCATCTCCCAGTGCCCTCAGCCCAGGTTTCCCCTCCATCCTGGCCACACTCCTTTCCCAGCACTGGGCTTTGCCTCCTGGAGCCACAGGTGCCCATCCTTTCTCTGGCCAGCTCTCCCCTGGCAGAGCCCCAGCCTGTTGTGGTCCCCTCCTGGAGGAGCTCCTGGCCCCAGCCGGGCCTTGCCCTCTCCTTGTGCCACACTGCCCTCGGAAGCCCCCTCGGGATTGTGCTCCCTCCATTGCTGGGGCAGCCTGCCCTCATCCCCCAGCTCCCTGCCTTGCAGCCCCGGTTTGTGCTCCAGATCAGACCCTCACTGCCTGGCTCCCGATGCCTGCCTGTAGCTGCTGAGCTCCTGCCCAGCCCTGTGCGATCTGAGTTCTGAGCACCGGGAGTCCCCGCTGGCCCCTCAGGCTCTGCTCCTGGCTCACCTGCTGCCCTTGGTCCCAGTCGTAGCCCAGGACCCTGCGACTGTCCCCTTAGGCCCTGCCCTGGATCTCGAGCCAGCTCCTTGGCCTGGACAGGACCCTTAGGCCACCTAGAGGTCCTTTTCCTACCCTGTCTGAGCCAGCCCCTCTCTGTGCTCAAACCCATCTGTCCATCCTGGCGTCCGTGCTGCAGCAGCTCAGGTCCTGGCTGGTCCTGCCCTCAGCACAGCTGGCCAAGCGCAGCCCTCAGGCTTCTGGCCTCCAGGCCATCATGTTCCTCGAAGGCTCTGCATCCTCCCACCCAGTTGACGTCCATGGCCTCTGGTGTGTCCAGCCCTGTTGGTATGGTTGCGCCCTGCCCGTGGCTCCCTGAGGCCAGTGTTGGGTTGGCATCGTGGCCTGTGGGCAGCCTGCCCTGCCCCGTGCTGGCTCAGCTGCTCGAGCCCCTCAGAGTCGTCCCTAGGTGTCTAGGCTCTCTGGAGCTCTTGTGACCAGTTTCACGGCCTCCACTCCACTCCCTTCCCCCTGCTCCGTGGGGACCCCACTCACCGAGGGTCGGGGCCGTGGAGGCGGCTCCTGCACAGCCCAGCCTGGGTCTCCGAGGAGCTCCCCCCACGCCCCTGCTCTGGCCCCGGGCACATATCGCTCCTTGCAACCCTGAGCCCTGTCTCCACTGGCCGCTCCTAGGAGTTCATAGCTCGTTCCCAGAGGTGGGAACGCCCTCCCGACAGCCCTGCAAAGACTAAGAACGGGACTGAAACCAGGGGGCACCGCTTGCTTCCTGAAGTTCCCTTTTCTTCTGGGTGGTTTCTGTCTTAGAGAGCCTGGGGGGAGTACAGATGTGGCCAAGGCTGCCTCAGGTGGGTGCGTGGGACACAGGTGCCCAGGACCCAGGGGAGAGCGCAGGAAGCCTGGGCGCATGTGTTGTTCTTCACTTTCTGGCTCCCACAGGAGTTGTGCCTGATGGCCCTGCCGCAGGCAGGGGCGCCCGGGCCTCTCACCTGAGCCATCTGGTCCCCACACCCCAGACGAAACCTCCCCCTGCCCCGGTCAGCGTGCAGTGTGGACACAGGCTGACCTGCTCACAGCCCGCAGCCCAGCCCAGGGCCTCATCCTGTCCTCCGGCCAGGACAGCCCCCCGAGTAGAAAGCCGTCTTCCTCTGGGTCCCTGCCTCTTCCCTCCCTCCCTCTCTGGCTCCATTTGTGGTAAGATCTCTGACTCAAGGGTGGTAGCACCCAGGGTCTGAGATAAGCTATCCTTCGAGGCACAGCTGTCCTCTGGGGACAGACAGAAGTCTATGTGCAAGGACAGAGTCCATGGTGGTCACTGGGACCCAAAGGTCTCCTCCGTCTGAGAGACAGTGTGCTGTCCTTGTCCTCCCGTGTGTGGGCCAGGACCCAGCTGTCTGTGGGTGGGGGGACACGGACCCTCAGTGTCTTGCATCTTATAGTGCCACGACTCACCCAAGGCTTGGTGTGCACCTCTGGGCCATCCTGTCTCTTCCATGTTAGGCCTTGAATTGGGGATCCCTGGGGGCATGGTGGTCCCCACCCTAGAATTGCCAGGGGCCAGGAAAGTGACTAGATGCAAGGGTGGGCATGGCTCTTTCCAAAGGTTAATGGACAGGGGCTTATGCTGTGGCTCCTTAGGTGGGCCGAGAGCAGAGTCCAAGGCTCTAGGAAGTGAACGTTCTAGGAGGTGCCCTTAGATGTAGGAGGGGAGTTGGCCCTCCTGCCCACTGCTGTCTGCAGCACCCTTTGTCCCAACGGTGTCCCCAGAGCCCACCCACGTCCCTCCAATGGTCTCCTCCGGGTCCCTGCACCTCCCCTGCTGGCAGGTCCTCATGCCACTTTCCACAGCTGGGGTTTTTCACAGCAGCGCCCACGTCTGGGTCCCATATCGTTCCGGTGGTTCATGGGTGTGCTGTGGGCCGCCCCACAGCAGGTGGCTTCTGCAGCTATTCCTAGCAGCTATTCGCTGGTTTGCTCCTGTGTTGGTGGCCTGCAGGCAGCACCAGGCTCTGTGGGCGGGGGCGCTCCTCTCTGCTCCACTCTCATCAGCGAGGGGCTGGAAGGCTCCGCCTGGAGTCCAGCGCCTGGGCTGGGCGGGAGCCCTTGTTCCCCTCTGTCTTCCTGATCTTTCTGTGGGGATTCCCCACGCTGAGTGGTGCCCAGGCCTGACTCCCAGGAGGAGCCCTGTCTCCTTAGGTCCTGCTCTCAGAGACCCAGTGGTGGTCCCTCAGTGGCCCTGTCCCCATGGAGTCAGTCACATAGGTACCCTGGGGTCTGGTGAGGTAAGTGAACCTCTGCATGGGGCAGGGCCAGGTGATGGAGGAGCCTGTGGTCCT